TATAACTCCCAAATTGCAATACTTCCTGACTGTTGTTCATTCAAAGTGTTGGGTCCTAACTACCCATCATATCAGGTGCAATTTGATATTTCATGTTTATTGTGGGTAGACTAACTCCTCGCAAACCAGTAAAAAAAGGTTAAATATCAGGCGGGTCTGACTATATAATACCCTACACCACTATGCGTATTTAGTGGAGCTCCCGTAAAAAAGTTTATATTGGGAATTAATGAGTGATATTAAATATATGATAGACAATAACCGTAAAATTATATGAAGATGTTTATCGAATGTATATAAAGATCTGAACCGATCCCGATAAAATTTGGCAGAGGTATTTTCGATCTGTATCTGATGTCGCCTATCAGATATGCTTGTTGTGAAGTGCATATTACACATGTGAAGGACTATAACACCAAATCGGATGGAACATAAGTATGAGAGCTATGGCTATATCTGAACCGATTTTTCACCAAAATTTGAAATACTTGCTTCTGGGCTGAATTCCGTCGGATGTGCCAAAATTCAGTCCATTTGAGCTGATATTAGCCATTTGGTGTTCAATAATCCTGAAATCGGATAGATAAATATATAGGAGCTATATTCAAATCTGAACCAATCTCTATAAAATTTGACAGAGGTATTTTTGAGCTCAATAAGTTATCTGGTACCAATTATCATTCCTATATACAGTATATTACGCATGTGAGCGACTTAAAACTCCAAATCGGATGAAACATATACATGGGAGCTATAGCTATATCTGAAACGATTTTCACCAAATTTAATGTACTTGCTTCTAGACTGAATTTTTTTTTTTTGGATGTGCCACAATTTGGGCTGATATTGGAAATTTGGTGCACAATTAACCCGAAATCGGTTGAAGATATATGTGGAAGTTATATCTAAATTTCAACCGAATTCAATCCAATTTCAAAAGTGTTCGTCCTTGGGCCAAGCAAATGATTTGTGGAAAATTTCATCTCAATCGGATAATAAATGCGACATGTATTTTGTTCACAAAAATAGATGGACAGACATGCTTAATTCGACTCCGAAAGTTATTCTACGAAGATCCTTAACAGTAACTATGGGTCTAATTTGGAATTAAAACCACAAATAGTTTATTTAATTTTCAAGAAAAAGACAAATTTGAAATAGTTTGCATGTTTGCTGTTTCTTAGGCATTACAAATGAACTGTTAAAAATTAAAAATAGACGTTTCGAATTTCATCTGGTGAATATAATCCAGATGATAGTAGGGAAGATAATCTCCGCCCGACTTCGGGAGCAACTAGCTTTTCGCCACATTACATCCTAAATACGAAAACAGCACCAACGTAGTCCCCAAATTGGCAAATTTTTATAGCATATTGCTTTAAAATCTCATTTTTGTTGGTTGGATCCCATAATATATCCAATGTTCAAAAAACTATATAAATTGTTTAAATAATAATAAAATACTATATACATCGATTTCTCTTCATTAGTATTACAGACATATTTTAGCAACTACTCGTGGAGTCCTTAGAATTTTCTATAGAAAAATCTGTCAGCAAAAAGAGATTTCATGCATCTATTACTTAAGGTAGATTTTTGAGAAAATGTAATCTGTGAGCGCTTATGGACCTGGATACACTTACAGGCAAAGTTGGACGTCCTATAAAAAACGCCATTGCAATAATTATGAAATATAAATGATATCCAAAACTCAATTGCAAATATAGCTCCTCAAAAAAAAAAAAAGAAGGAAATTGTCATTTATTTTCCTCTAATTAAAACTTGTTGAGAATTAGAAACTCTATTAAAACAACTATTAATGCTATTGAAGGTCAACTAAATGCCATTATACAAATATAAATCTTCTTTAATTTCACTCAATTCCATTTGTGAACATATGGTGGTAATAGACCACCATATGGACTGTCAGTCTGTCAGCCTGCGAACACTTAAAGAACAATGAAAACGCGAGAGAAAAAAAGATGTTAGTAAAAAAATACCAACTAATTGCCCTGTTACACTACTATAGGGGCATAGGCATAAATAAAATAGGAAAAATGTTATTTACGACGCATCGTCCAGTTTATAATAATTAAGAGCTGTTTAATGATGCATCATATTTTGGGAACACGAAACGCTAATTCCAGTCGACTTGCATGATAATATTTAAAATTGTTGAATGCATTTGTATGAAAAAGTTGTGATTAACAGTTTTTTTTTTAAGAAGTACAAACCCAAAACCATAGAAACGGTTGACTTTATCACTTCAAAGATATTTCCGTATCTAAAGTCAAGGATATTAGAATTGAGATCATATTCTGTACCACAAATTAAAGCATGGGGGGAAACATCGAATAATATGGGAGGTAATCTGTTCCCTCCTACACTCCTTAACCCTTCATTATTGTACAGCTCAAGTAGATTATTATATTCATCGACAGCTCAGGATTTTTCCATATTTTTATAAAGATTATTGATTTAATCATTGGAAAGACTTTAAAAGTACTTCTCAAACAAGCTTTAATATAATTTAAAATTTTTACGTCTGTGTGTCCTTCAATTTCGAAGGAAAGAAAAGAACTCTGTGGCTCGTACCGTGATACTGGTAGCGTAGCCCGACGTCTAGAAAGTGGACGGAAGAAAACAGAAACATTAGCAGGTAAAGCCATTGAAATTTCAAAAAGTGTAAGAACTTACACCGCAACGGAAAGAAAATAGACTCAAAAAAGCTAAAGAGTTGGAAGAAAGTAGTGAACTGCAGAATTTGGATTTCTCCGATGAGAAAACATTCGATGTCCAGCAGTTTGTAAACAAACAAAATGATCGTGTTTACTTGCCAAAGAGGTCAACTGAAAATGTGCGCGTTCGGTTGGCCACCAGAACTCAAGCGCCGGCATAGGTGATAGTGTGGGCCGCCATTAAGGGCGATGGGCGCTCTCCGCTCGTATTAATCGACCGTGGCATCAATAGGTCAAAATACCGCGTATGGCGGTTTCATTGGCCGTTTGAAGGTCATAATTCGTTGCAAAGGTGACCAATGCGAACAAATCTAAACTTATACTAAAATTTGATGCTATTTCCGAAATTTATTGCTTTCAATAAAATTTAAAAAAAAAGTAAAATTATGGATTTTGAATTTGTTGCAGTTTTTTATGAAAAAAAAATCGTGTGGTAATGACTTGGTGCCCATTTGAGGTTCATTTAGAATACAATTATCCAACTATTTTCAAGGTTCTAGGTTCAACTATTTTCAAAGTTCATATCCAGGCAAGTAACAATTATAATGACTATTGTGAACCTTTTCAGTGGCCGTATGATATTGGCAAATCTCAGAAACATAGTTATAAATAAAGCATCAAATTGGGTCGGTTGAACCCAATTAATATATAATTTGTACGGCTTTAATTTTAAAATACTTAATAGGCCTAATTGTCTCCTACAGTGCCGAGGTCTAGGCTGGGGCTGAATTGTGAATATGAAGTAAAAAATATTTCCTTTATAAAAGATTTCTTCTCACATTTTCATGGAACGAGAATTTATGCCCTGGAGTACTTTGAAGCAGAATAAGATGTGCCATTTAATTCACTTCATCTCCAGTAATTTCACAGAAAGTTATTATGTTGTTGTGACGAAAAAAATCCGCAGCTCTATTCTGATTTCGCTTCAAAGTTCTGATTTATAGGTATTAATGAGAAGGATTTCGAAAGCCCTACAGATAAAATAAAAACTTTGCCAAAAATGAAAAAAAAAAAAAAACAAACAGCTGAGTATAAAAACTTACCAAATTATGGGGATACCTCGAGTTTCTTATGGCTATATTGACACCTTATTATATGGATTTAAATACACTTCATAGACCAAATCAACAAAACCTCCCAATCACTAGAATTATTTGCTGCCATTGTACCCAATCACCAGCACCTGGAATACGGGTTATCCACCTTACACAGTGCTTGCTACTTATTGATATCCATCGTTTGGGAGGTTCCTGAACAAGATTATGTTATGTCCACCACAGTCCAATAGGCAGGCAAGGTAACAAAACAAAACTTGCAAAAACAAAGTCATAAAGCAAGAGAAACTATACAAAAAAAAAGAAAAACGAAAAAATCCAGTGAAAAGGACAAAGGAATGAGAAGGAAGGGGAGGGGCAGATTATTCAGCAAAAAAAAAAACTAAAATCGACACCGGATCGAAAACGAAGTTAAATGCCCACATAAGACGACAGGGAGTATGCAGAGATAACAAGGAAATTGTTCCCCATCGAAATAAAACAAAATTGGCAGACAATGGAGCTCCTAGTTTGTTGAGCCGCCACAACAACAACAAAAAACAAGGAAGATATTCTTTTAATTTATTTAATTGAAGTAGAAGAAGCAGCGGCAGCATAAGAAAAAAACAACATTTACAAGAGACCAGGAGAGGGATAGAGGAAAATATGACAGACAAAACATACGCACACACCCAAACCCGTAACATCGAAACAACCGACCGACCACCATAAACAGCCTCCACCTTTTTTTCTTCGGCAACACTCAACACACTCTCTCGCCAACACTCAACGCTCTCTTTTTGTCGCCGCCAGCCGCTGGCGTTGTGCTTACCGCCGTCTCAGCGGCAGAGCACAACATTGAACATTAAATTAATTGAATTAATTTCAATTTGTTTATATTTTTTCGTTGTTCGTTTGGTTTTTTTCTTTTATGCTCACGCTCTCTCTCTCTTTCTTTTAATCCATGTTGGTTTCTTAGTGCACACACAAGAAGCGATTTGAAAATTTCTTTTATTTTGTATTTGTTTGCTTTCTTTATAAATTCTTTTTCTTTTGGTTATTTGCTTTTCAACACCAACTCCACATTTGTGGAGTTGTTCTTTATGCATTTTTACATATATTTTTTCTCACTTCACTTCGTTTACCCACACATGTTTTAACTTCATTTACATGACAATTTTTCTCGTTCGCTTCAATTTATGTATTCTCCTCGCACACACAAACTTACTTTTTACTGTTGTCGCAGTTTGTACAACGAACCAAAGAATGGCACTGGGCAAATGTGGCTTAGCGAGCCACTTTGATTTAATACAAAAAACTTGATTTCTTTTTATTTAGACTTTTCTATTATTATTTATTCTCTACGTTACGGAAAAACACACCGAGCAGAAAATTCTTCACACACGACGAACGCACCAACCAAGACTGAACGAGAATTTGCTGTAAAAATTTTTACACCACTACAGTAAAAGCAACTCTGCGTTTTAAGTCGTCCTTCTCTGGCGAGTACCGAACGATACAACTGTTAGCGGTAGCTTAGTGTATTTCAAATATTTGACATATAAATATGTCTATTAAAATAATTTTTATCGTTTCAAAATGTTAATTGATTTTTGCTTTTTTGTTTTAATATTTTTAGATACTTTCTTTTTGATCTAATAATAAAGTACTTTTTAATGCAACATTGTTGTTTACTCGGCGAAATATTTTTGTTTTTCTCTTTGTTGTTGTTTTCGTATTAATCTCTGTTTATTTTCCACTAGCGATTAATCAAATAATCGATTTATTGCTATCGACTTTTTAGCCCGCTCCACGATATCCAAAGGAGTTACACTGCCTTTACACTGTGCAATTTTTAGCTGACATTTTTATCAATTCTCTTTTTTTTTCTGCGTAAATCTTCGCGCCTTTACACGGTGGCATTTTTCGATAATAGTGGTTGGCATTTTTTCTGACATTTTATTTTATTCAGTATTTCGTATAGAGCTAATTGTTTGTAACAGATATTTATAAAGGACTGATTTAAAATTAAATGTGTAAATCTAAAGAAGAAATGATGGAAAAAGTTATTGAGGTGTTAAATATTACATTGTTAACTTTTATTTTAACATTCTTTTTTTTACTTTTTAATACTTCCAATTAATTTTCATATAATTCACTATACAATTCAATCACTAAAAACATTACATCACAATAAAAGAAACGCATCAAAAATTACAATAAAGAAACGATATGAAATGTCAAAATTATAAAAAATTCGGAAGAAGCAAAAAGAAAAATGCAAAGAAAATGGCATGTAACCCTGTGCGGTGGCTTATCGTGCCATTTTTTCTTCTATCTTTGTCTCTCTACACCTTTTACCAACAATAAAAAATGGCATGGTTAAAAAATGTCACCGTGTAAAGGCAGTGTTACAGAATCTCAATGCAGAGGTCGCAAATAAATTTTCAACAAGTAAAATAGTATCAGTCGGATTTGCCGACAGATTTATACCCCCAGCCATGAGTTATGATTATTCAAACTGTTAACCCTTTAGGGGGGAGGTTCCGAAGCAGTTGGCCAATATTGACCAATTCGTATCTGACCTAAGACTGATAAAAATATTACAACGTGCCAAATTTGGACTATAACAACTACTTCCTATACATTATATGAGATATGTACAAATTTTTGAAAAATGTAGAAATATGCATGAGGTAACAGATATAGCTGACCGAAGTATTGCATATTCATACTTCATCTAATACAGATAAAAATATTGGTATGTGCGAAATTTCAAGGAAATCGAACATTTATATCTAGTTTTATGCAAAATCATTAATGTCGATAAACTACTACAATCGCCGACTTGTTTCACAAGTTGTGGCAGATATAAGTATTGGAAATTGTGACCCTTTGTGGGTGAGGTTCCAGAAAGGGTTGGGAGATATACTATATCATCTTCCCAACAGATCTTGCATTAGCAAGATATTTAGATGTGAGAAATTTGAAGAGAGGTTGTTGTTTTTTTCTCTTTTTTTGAGCGTTTCGTTTTTCAATAATATGACCCCTTTCTGTGGGAAGTACCAGAAGAAATGGTCCAATCTGTATCATCTTTATAATAGCTCTAGTGTTGATGGAAATATTAAGATATACAAAGTCTGAATGGAATCGGATGTTAATTTCGTATTTTATGATACTCAAAATGGATACTGGATACTCAAAACTTTGACCCTTTGTGGGGTAAGTACTTAAAGAAGTGGACCGATATATCGATATATGGTGATGTGTGTAATTTGAAGACAATCGGACAAGAACATTTTATAAGAGATATAATTATTCAAAATATTGATCCTTTGTGAGGCAGGTACTTGATGGTGTGGGCCGATATTTTCCATTTTCTGACATGGGCTAGCGTCAATTCAAATGTTAGGATTCGCAAAGTTAGAGCATTATCCTCTCTCTTTCTGTGCAGTAAATTATTTTCTTAAAAAAATGTATACATCTTGTGTGAGAAGTACCAAAAGGAGTAGGCCGAAGGAGAGCTCCGAACTCGATCTAAGTTTGACAATAATATTGCGATGTTCCCAGTTTGGATCAAATCGGACATTTCCTTCAAGAGTTATTGAGCACAACATACAGACAAACGGACGAACGGACATCGCTAAATCGACTCCAAATGTCCTGAAACGGATTTGATCCAAAGACACCTAGGGTCTAAACCCCTTATTTCAAAGGGGCACGTTTAGTATATATCAAATGATATATACCCTTAGCCATATGGCTATGGCTGAAGTATGACATAGCAAACACCTGAATATATATTTTTCTTTTGTTAGATATGTAATAAAATGAATATAGTTTTTGTATGTGTAATGCCCGTTGTTATATATTTTCTTTATAGTACAGGCAGATGCATCAACGCTTGGTAGCATTGATATGTCAAAAAAAATTGTAATGTTTTTTCAAATATAAGTAGATTTTGAAATGTTTTCTTATACGAATTCATTCGGAGGTGGTTTTAATTCGCGTATTTCAACAATTTTTACAAATTTAAATAATTTTTCATTCAACATTTTCAATCCCAATTGGTTTGGCAGTTCATTGTCCCATCAGCTGTGTCAATGCGTCTACCAATATTCTCCTATCATGATTACATCTTACCTTTAAAATAAATGCATTGTTTCAAAGATATGTCAAGCTTTTTGTAAACATAAGTGGTTGTTTGTAATTAATTTCATGAAATAAATAGACAATTATTTCTCAAAAAAAAAAAAAAAAAAAACTGAGGCGAAAATTGATAATCAAATGGAAACCAGCCCATTGCCATTTTATTGTCATAATTGGTTTGCTCCATTGTAGAATAATACAAGTAACAGAAAGGGTTGTTGTGCAACAAATGTAACACCAACCACATACAAATTTGTTTTGTACGTAATACAAGTGTCAGAGTTATATGTCCAAAAATGTAAACAAAACAATTAATTTTCAATAAATTATGTTAATTTCAAAAAAATATAAATTTTTGGAATTTTGGTTTTTAGATTAAAGTGCAGAAGAATAGTTCTTTAATTATTTAATTTTAATGCTTTCATATCATTCCCCTTAATGTATGGTGGTTAGCAGTTGGTTCAAATCTCTCAACTCTTCAAGCAATCGCTAGAAAATCGTGAAAAAGCAACATCCCATTCAAAGTTTTCGCATCATCGCTGTTGGCGTTTTGTTAAGAATAACAGGTAAATTTGCCAATCAGATCGATAATGTGTACCGCAATAAAATCGATTGTTCGATTCTCTATAATATGACACCAAAAATCGATAAGTTGACAATCGACTTACAGATCCCTAAGTCGGCTAAAGGAAAATCACGAATTGGACAGACATTTCCAAAAACAATTCGCCCAGTAAAGACGCGCTCTTCTTTGGCACCCACCATCACTTACGATCAACAAACACAGAACTGGGCAAACATTGTTTAAACTATTTGCGTTAAACTACGGTTTTTAATACCAACCATAGCTAGAAAATAATATAGTGGAAATCAATTTAGTCTAAAAGTAGAGAAAAACAAATTCATCATCATGCAGTCTGCCCATAGTAAAAAAAGAGTGTGCTATTATTATGACAGTAAGTTAATTTTGTTTTATTTTCATTACTTAAATATAATGTTTAACTTGTTGGTAAGTTTTTTTTCGTTCCAAAACACTGGCTACCAATTTTGGTTAATGCAATTCTCACGACCATTTGTAAATATTCATAATTTAAAACGACTGTACCATCGGCTTTTCAATACATCGCAGCACACTACGCTGTACACAACACTTTGTTCGAACGACCATACCTTGGACGACGTGTGAATTGCAAGACGATAGTCTTTTGCCATCTCTCTGCCGGCGTTTGCACGTATACAAAGTACAATGTGGTAGATGCTCTGCTCGTTGCGTTTTGTTTGTAGAATGTGCGCGTTTTTTTGTGTACTCTGTGGGTATGGTCGTTTATGAGAAAAAAAAGTGTCTTGCTTGTGTGAAAACATATGACGCTACGGAGGACTCTCGATTTAAAAATGTTTTTTTGTTTGAATAATGGAAATATTGAAATTGTTTACAGCACTTTGTTTTGAAATTTCATGATAATAATTTTGTTTTCTCTTTCCCTTCTTCATAGGTGATATTGGCAACTATTACTATGGCCAGGGACATCCCATGAAACCTCATCGTATACGTATGACCCATAATCTGTTGCTCAACTATGGGCTCTATAGAAAAATGGAAATTTATGTAAGTTTAAAAAAATATTTCTAATAGAAAAAAAGGAAAATATATGATCTTACATTGTATAGATTATCAGGGTCCATTTGAAGAGATAATAATAATTAAGAACTAAGTATCACGATTTTAAAGAGCCGTATTCAATTTCACAAGCCTGTTCGAATACCAGACAGACATTTTTCATGAATGAAAAAAAGAGTTTTTCTTCCAAAAGAATTGAGATGAAAAACTAAATTTCCAGATAGGACACAGTAAAGAAGTTCTATATTTTGTCCTGCAAGCTGCAACATGCAACAATTTCGTCGCAACATTTTTAAAATGTAATTAATTTTTTTTACATTTTACATAGTACCAAGATGTTCTTGTATAAGTTGTATTGACAAGATTGTCCCGCTAATAAGATGAGCCAGACATCAAATTAAGAAAATCAGCTACTTCAATGGACTGTCTTAAAACTTTTCGAGATAGAAAGATATTTTTATTAGTACGATTAAAACATAAATGTTTTTTTTTTTTAAGGAAAAATAAAAGAAGTGTAAGATACTCAATACATTTTCGTTTAAGATTGAGTTTGACAAACATCAAGATTTTCGTTATGGACTTAACTCATACCAGTCAGTTTTCTTTATTAATTTAGAGTTAGTAGTAGAACTAGGTTAATAATTAACATAACTGTACTATATCCGGATTAAAGTTGGGCCAGTGTATAATGTTTTTCTCCTCGCCTGATATCCGGTCATTGATGGAAATGATCAGTTCGTCCAGGAAATTGATAGCGACACTAATCGAACCATTTAAAATAATTTATTCGTCTTGCCCGAATATTATCCCGAAAATACGGACTTCAATTCAGGTGCCAAAACTACTCCATCTAATGTCTGGTGTGGCGAGGTTTTATTACTTCTTGACTGTGCCGGTATGATTGCCACATATGAATGCTGGGTAGACCTGTTGGCTTAGCCTGTGTTGATTTTGTTCATTTTTTAATATTTAATAATAAATCTATATTTCTTCTTTCCCACAGCGTCCCCACAAAGCCACTGCCGATGAAATGACCAAATTCCATTCAGATGAATATGTTCGCTTCCTACGATCGATAAGACCCGACAATATGACTGAATACAACAAACAAATGCAACGGTTTAACGTTGGCGAGGATTGTCCTGTCTTTGATGGTCTCTATGAGTTCTGTCAGCTTTCTGCGGGTGGTTCTGTTGCTGCTGCCGTTAAACTGAATAAACAAGCCTCCGAAATTTGCATTAATTGGGGTGGTGGTCTGCATCATGCCAAAAAATCTGAAGCATCTGGATTTTGTTATGTTAACGATATTGTTTTGGGCATTTTGGAATTGTTGAAATATCACCAGCGTGTTCTTTACATAGATATCGATGTCCATCATGGTGATGGTGTGGAAGAAGCTTTCTATACAACAGATCGTGTGATGACGGTTAGTTTTCACAAATATGGTGAATATTTCCCTGGCACTGGGGATTTGCGTGATATTGGTGCTGGTAAGGGTAAATATTATGCTGTTAACATACCGCTGCGTGATGGCATGGATGATGAGGCATACGAATCGATATTTGAACCAATCATCTCCAAAGTTATGGAAACTTTCCAACCCGCCGCCGTGGTCTTGCAGTGTGGTGCTGATTCGCTGACTGGCGATCGTTTGGGTTGCTTTAATTTAACGGTCAAGGGACACGGTCGTTGTGTGGAATTTGTAAAGAAATATAATCTGCCGTTCTTAATGGTTGGTGGTGGTGGCTATACCATTCGTAATGTATCACGTTGTTGGACATATGAAACATCGGTGGCCCTGGGTGTGGAAATAGCAAATGAATTGCCATACAATGATTACTTTGAATATTTCGGTCCCGATTTTAAACTTCACATCAGTCCCAGCAATATGACAAATCAAAATACAACAGAATATTTGGAAAAGATCAGAAATCGGTAAGTGTATTGAATGTAAATAGATAGAATTTTTCGATAGATGTAAACGCTTTGAAACCCTTGGTTATTGACGGGAAAAAGGACATGAATACTACGATAATTCATGTTCACTGTCCTGGCTAGTTCTTGCGGTCCCAAAAATGAATCGTCCGTAAATGAACGCTCTTGCTTCAAGGCAGGGCACAGACGCAGTCTGTTTCGCATACTCTGATGATAAGGCCAAAGTCGAACCGGTCGTTCTTGTTTCGCCGAAACCTTGTTACCCGAATCAGACTTGCGAGTAGCAGATATTGATCAGACTGACTTCATGGGTCTTTCATCCAGAATTATTGGCTGATATTCGTCGAGAAGATCTGCTATATCTATCTTTCCGATAAGTCGAACAGAGTAACGTGCGGATTGGCCGATGTGTAATGTACAGGGGTCAATAAGGAGTCCTCAGCGGCGATTCAAAGTAGAATCCTTTTTATACCTTCCACCTTGGAAAGGAGGGTATATTAACTTTGTCATTCCGTTTGTAACATTGACGATTCGATCTTACTGTTTTCTATAAAGATTCCGGTTTATATATATTTCAAAAAATTTTGAAATACTAAATCCCAAGCTTTTCTTTACAGGCTCTTTGAAAACTTGCGTATGTTACCACATGCACCCGGCGTGCAAATTCAGGCGATACCCGAAGATGCAATCAACGATGAATCAGAAGATGAAGATAAAGTTGACAAAGACGAAAGATTAACTCAGGCCGATAAAGATAAACGTATTGTGCCGGACAATGAATTCTCCGATTCAGAAGATGAGGGTGAAGGCGGCCGTAGAGATAATCGTTCCTACAAGGGTCAAAGAAAACGACCACGGCTCGATAAAGAAGGTGGCAAGGCAACAGAGAATTCCGAAGCCAAAGATGACAAAGAGAAAAGTGAGTGTATTTAATCAAATATAAAATCTGATATGAAAATTCTAATTTGTTACTGTTTTATTATTTCCAGTGGACACAACAGAAACCGAAGAACCTGCTAAAAGTGAGGATGGCAAAAAAGAGAACAACATATGACGTGGTGGCCGTAATTGGTTATAGAAACCAATCAAACGTTCATCGAAGTTTAAGCCTAATTTAACGTAGCGTTTATTTAATTTTTAATTTTTCTAGCTGTGTACTGCTAATCCACTTTTTTACTATCTTCACTCATGTATCCTCCTTCTCATCCATTTGAGGGCGTGTTATTTTTCATTTTCAATTAAAAAAAAAACGTTTGGATAAACGAATATTTTTCATCTCTTTTGAGTTGGTGAATTTTTAATAGAAAATTCTCTTTTATTTGGCAATCGGACTCTTATAGAGACGCAAAGGCCGTAAACAAAACACGTCTACCAATGAAAATTAAACGTTATATTTTGTACTTTAGAAGTAAATTCTACAAATATACTATATGTATTTTAAGTTAAGATGTGTAACATATTTAGAAAGAAAATCTTCATTTCTAACTGCAAAAAGTGAAATGGAAGAAAAATAAGAAACAACAACTTAAATAATTATACAAAAATATTTTTCTTCTTAATATCATAGAAAATACAAAAAACATACGACACAATTGTTCCATATGCAACCAAATACCCGAGTCTTCTGAAGGGAAAATTTACATACCCTCCCCTCCCCAACCTATATACTAAATACTTTCACACACACCAACATACATACATACTAATGCATACAATATTTACTTGTTTTTCAACTCAATATACTGATAGAGTTTATTATTTATATAACATACATCTTTTTACATCGTAAAACATAAATGAAATGAAAATATTGCATATAGGTATGTATGTATGAACTTAAGACAACAACAAAATAGTAATATACATATACACCAATAAATTCAACAAGAAAATACTTTAAATATGGACTAAAAACCAAGCGTTTTATTTGTCTTGCCGATTGAATGTGAAGGCGCTGGAATAGTTTTCAATTATGAATTTTTTTAGTTTCAATACCATATGTACCTTTTACATAATTGTTTCAATTAATTGTATACAACCATTTGTTTCATTACAAATTATCCTCTTATAATTTCATAAGTTTTTTTTGGTCTTCTTAATATCTGGATTTTCCACATACTTATGGCAGATACGTCACTTGTCCATTCGAAGATAGCTGTAATAAATATACATCACTTAACATTGTGATTACTCAGCGACTGCAGCCACTTATGAGAAATTTTGACTGTCAAATGAGGTTCTTGCGTTTGCGTATTTAGATAACAGGCAATAAGACTCCAAGCAAAGATTGCCGCTGACTTAGAGCATATTTTATGATAAATTCAGAGATGATGGGAATTGTTTTATGATACTTTTTTTGTATTTTACACTCTTAACATGTACCTTAACATCTTCGAAATGTCAAATGCAAAACATGCATTAGGTGCTTACACGAATGAACGCGGAACACGTTGGAATCCAGATACTTTTCTTTAAAAAAGCTTTTTATCAAATCGTGGAGGTATTGAAAATTCGGCCCGGTCGAAATTAATGTTTTTATACTCTACACCACATAACATGGAGAGGGAAGGACATTTGTTTGTAAAATGGAGAGGGAAGCGAGATAGACCCATAGTTTGAGGATCTTCACAGAATCACTTTCTGAGTCCTTTCAGTCCTTCCGCCCGTCTGTCCATGTATTTTTGCGAACAAAATGCAGGTGGCATTTATTATCCGATTGAGATGAAATTTTCCAAACAATATTTGTTTGGCCCAAGGGCGAACCCTATTGAAATTGGTGATAATCGGATCAGATTAAGATATAGCTCCCATATATCTTCAACGAATTTCGGGTTAATTATGCACCAAATGACCTGAATTTTGGCAAATCCAACTGAATTAAGTCTAGAAGCAAGTAATAAAATTTGGTGAAAATCGGTTCAGATATAGCAATATCATATGGGAGATATTATATGTTTCATCCCATTTTGACGTTAAAGTCCTTCATCCCATTGTGACGTTAAAGTAATATACATTCGACAACAATGATATTTGATAGCAGATATCAGATACAGCCCAGAAATACCTCTGCCAAATGTTATAAAGATCGGCTATAGATTTGGATATAGCTCCCATATATATCTTTAATCTGATTTCAGGTTTATTGTGCAAACAATGGCTTATATCAGCCCAAATGGAGTGAATTTTGGGACATACGTTTCCATTTTGTGGAACTCGGCTCCGATATATATTTTTTTTAATATAGTCCTTTTCGAAGTGATATCATGGACCTTACAGAAATGTTATTTGGTATAAGAGATAAAAATGTTTCCGTCATATTTGGTTAACATCGATTCAGAATTGGATATGCCTCCCATATATTAGTTCCCTCTGAAACCAAATTATAACTGTTCTAAAGCCAAATGTTGATAGGTGGTATGATCTACTTTAAATAAATTCTTTTGTTACGGGAGCTCTACCAAATGTGCATACAAAGCCATAGAAGTATAAAGATAGGACAAGTCAGACTCAAAATATTATCACCAGGGGTCTTTGCCTCTATTGTTACGATATCATAACAACATAATACAATTTTGTGCCCAGAGTTTTGGTTTACAGAAACTGTTTTTCGTAAAACTGTTCTGTAATTTTGTTTTTATACCCTCCACCTTACATAGTATGGAGGGTATATTAAGTTCGTCATTCCGTTTGTAAATCATCGAAATAATCATTTTAGACCCAACAATTCTTGATCATCGTAAAATTCTAAGACGATTTAGCCCTGTTCGTCCGTCTGTTGTAATCACGCTACAGTCTAAACGAATTAAGATAGGAAGCTAAAATTATGCACAACTCTCTATTTTGTCTGTAGGCAGGTCAAGTTCAAAGATGGACTATATCAGTCCACGATATCGTATAGCCCCCATATAACGGTACCCCCGATATTCGGTATTTTGATAATGTTAGCCACATTTTTCTGAAAATCCACACAAGTAGTTCCTTGTGAATACTTTACCCCCTGAGAGAGAATTGTCTATATAGGTCCACGATATCGTATATCCCCCATATACGGTACCCCTCGATTTTCGGTATTTTGATGACTTTACCCACATTTTTCAACAGAATTGTCTGAAAATCCACACAAGGAGTCCCTTGTGGGTACTTTATACCTCGGCTGAGAATTATCTATATAGGTCCACGATATCGTATATATATATAATGGTACCCCTGATATCCGGTATTTTGATGATTTTACCCACATTTTACAATCGTATTGTCTGAAAATCCACACAAGGAGTTCTTTGTGAGCACTTTACCCCCTGAAAGGGAATTGTCTATGTAGGTCCACAATATCGTATATCCCCCATATAACGGTACCCCCGATATTCGGTATTTTAATGATTTTAGCCACTTTTTTTCCAATGTAATTATCTGAAAATCCACACAAGGAGTTCCTGTGAGTACTTTACATACAGACAAAGATTTGTCTTTATAGGTCCACAATATTGTATATCGGCACTTTCCTATATTAGATATTTTAGAGATTTTAAAAGAATTTTTAATGGATTTTATTTTTTTAAATTTTTAATTCGTTCCAAATGGTGGAGGGTATTTAAAGTTCGGCCCAGCCAAACATACTGCTTTTTTACTTGTTTATGCTAACATGTCTATGTTGTGAGCAGCGCCTCTACATGCTTTTCACATTAACTATTATTCCATAATGCATTTTGTCCAGTCTTTGCCGCTTTAGGTCTTTGATGCATGGTAATGTAGGGTACCAAATAGTCGGCCCCGCCCGACTTTTAGATTTTCCTTACTTATTTTTAAATGAAATTTTATCAGAAACTACTGAACTTAAAAATATACTTGGATTTATAGTAAAATTTTGTGTAAAATATTTCTTCTTTTTGAAACTTTGTTTCTTGACGTCATTCTTCTAAAATTATAATCTCTATGCGAATATTGGATATACTTTATTTTTGGTAGGTTTTAGACTTTGATACATTCTGGAATCTGTAGTGGAACACAATTTTTTAGCTCTACTTTCATAATCTCCCAACTTTTACATCGTCCTTCACAACTTAACTGAAATCTTCAAACTCAAACCCCAGACAGTGTCACCATACAATAGGCAACTTGGTGAGGCTTCCACAGTTTATTACTCTATGGAAAGAAAATAAAACATATTGAATTCTATATGCAATACAAACCTTGATTTCTATTTAATTTCATCCAAATAAATTATTTTCATCATTACAACACATTCAAATTGTTAATGTTTTTTTTTCTGTTTTATATTTTAGTTTTCTTTTGCTATATACATACATTTTGTTACTAGATCCTATCTAAATACACTTAAATACAGTATATTCTAAATTAACTAAAAAAACATAAATAATTTGCGAGCCATAAATGTTGTATTCGTTGAGAGAAAATTAAGTAAACAGCCGATGATAAGTATTATCGAATTAGAAGACAAAAATACTGTGGACTAAGGTTTTTTCTTTATTTTTTTTTAAACTAATCTAAAGATAATATAGAATCAATACTACTTCGATTACGTGGCCTCATCAGGGGACCACCCAAATAACTGATTGGATTTGAGAACTGGCGATGGGTGTCATCGATGAATGCCGGAGCAATGGGTGTTTGAGAATTTTTTCGTTTGGGCACAAAACTTTCCACAGGTACATCGGCAATTTCCACCACTTTGGGCGTAACGGTTTCACTTGGCGCTGCCGCTGTATTGGGTTGCTTCCTTTGACGACTACTTTCTTCCGTTGTGGGTAATTTGAAGCTAACAAACCCTTTTCTCTTTGGCCGTTGCACGGATAATGTTCGTAGAATAGGATTTGGATTTCTCGACGCCGACGCTGTTGTCATCTGTTCTACAAGGGGCTGGTAAAGGGATTTTAGGATTATTTGATTGTTAGTGAGTTGTTGTCTGGTTAAATTAGGAAAAATCTGTTTGCTTTTGGTGTTGTGTTTTTTGTTTTATGTTATTATTGGGAAAATGTTATGGAATTTGGTAGTGGGAAGGGGGATGTTTGCCAAAAACCAAGGGTGAAAGGATAGAAATAAATTAAATTAGTTTAGTAAAATTAGTAAAAAAATGTAAAAAAAAAGAAATTCTTCAAAAATTATTAGATTAGTAGATAATAGATATTTGTTCGTTCCATTGAACTGTAGGTGGGATTGTGTTTAGCTGTTAGATCCGTAAATCTGTATAGTGGAGAAAAAGCTGTGCTAAAATGTGAAGCCGAAGGAGAAATGAATAAAAAATTAACAGTTATAAAAAAATATTAAAGTACTACCAGTAACATGTATTCCAACACATTTCAATGTTGGTGTAATGTATTTAGCTTAATTGAATACAGATTCCCATTTCTGATTCCCATTATGAATTCCTGGCGTTTATTTTAGGTTTATTATACTCATATACTCAAGTTAAGATTTAAGCCATTTCGGTCCATGACTGTTCCTCCCAATATTCGGTATTTTGATGATTTTAGAGATATTTTTACCGGAATTGTCTTAAATTTTGTATTTGAAGTTCGCCTATGCCAGAAAATTGTCTATGCAGGTCCACGTCTTCGTTTGACCCCCATGCAACGATACCTCCCGATATTCGGTATTTTGATAATTTTAGCGACATCACCCACCGGAATTGTTTCAAATTTCGTATGTAAAGTTCCGAATCAGTACTACAGCCTATACTTATGAATGAACATGTCTTCGTATAGTCCCCATATAAGGGCTTCATTTAAGAAGTGTTTTTCTACGGATATTTTTTGACAATTTTCAAGTTTTTAAAAGTTCGACCAGGTCCAACTTACCTGCTTTCTTATTTGTAAAATGTCATCTTATACTGAAATCATATTAGAATATATTTCATTTAATTTCTAATTTTATGGGAACAATCCTTCATTTACATT